TTTGTCAATTGAAGTTTTATACATGCATTGCATCAACACCATTTAAGGTTCACCCCTTGTTCATATATGTTTCTGGTCTTATGTGGTTGTTCACCTCTTGTTTATATCGTGTTCACCCCTTGTTCATATCGTATAAAATATATGAACACATAACCTCAACGCTATGAACACTGAGTGCAAACACTTACACAAATATAAAGATTTTGTATCAAGCTTAAAAAATAACATTTGTGTTCATATGATAGAAGTAACATGAACACAATGGTTCATGATTCATAAAAGTCGGTAATATGACAATATGAAAATGGGTCGTGCATGTACTTCCATTTGAACATGTGAATTAGGTACATATTTTAATAATTAAAGAAAAAAACTATCAATACAAGATGAATTATAAAAAACACAACACATCGTAGTGAACATAATTTCGATTAAAATGAATCTAAAAAAAATAAAAATCTATTACCAAGACATTCGCTTTGGTTAATTTCTTCAATTCCCGACCTCGAACTTCGATTGTCATCATAAACCATTTTAATTTCTCACTGTTGTCGATTTATTTTTCATTGCATTTATCAATATTAGCTTGATCGATACCGAAAATTTTTACTACCGTGTTTTCTATGTGAATTAAAAACTGATAAAACAATGAACATGGAAGATCAAGATTAAAAAAATAAAAATATTAATATTATAAATGCATATTTTTTGGGATTTGGTTATTTGTAACTCCCCATTAATTGTTTGGGAGTTACATATCAAATTAATTTACTGAAATACCCTTGTAATTAAAATGTGAACATGACATAAACCTACAAAAAGAATGGAATTTGATTGGTTGCCATGATTTTCAAAGTTAATACAAAATTATTGGTTAATATTTGATCTTCCCCATATATATATATATATATATATATATATAGGGACCTAATCAAATGAGAACTAATTAGTTTGTGATAACTGTGAGAACATTGTGATAACATTTAGCCTTTGTAATAATATTTGACTGGACATTGTGATAATCAATTTGTGCTACATTGTGGTAACA